TGATGACCCGATCAAGAGTCTGTCAGGAGAGCCCACTGCCTACCGATTACTGTCACACACAAGCCATTTTATGTGAATGGCCGTGCATTTTTCACGGTCTTGCTAAAGGTTGATTATTACACTGAAATCCCTGACTCTATTTGTTTGTAATTTCACATTTATGATCAGAATAAAAGAGCATTTTTCAAAGATTGCTTGCTTCGCACAAGGAAATAAAGTGTTTTGGTCAGAAATTAAGAAGAAGCTGATTTCAGGGAATATCAGGTTAGATTAAACTTTTAGACGGTGATTTTGCTTTGCTTTCATTTGTCTCAAAGACATTGATCTGCAGCCTAGAACTTTGGCTGCCATGCCTCCGCAGCTTGCCATGGCTTACTGATAAAGCATAAATGGTTGTCAAATTTACTACCCTGTATTTCAGAACTGAATGAATTCAAGAACGTAAAAGTATCTCACAGTTGCTTGCTAAGTGCTCTTATAGCATTTTAGTTGCCTTCACACAATAACATTGATGATAACTTGTTTGATGAGTAAACTCGTTGGGATTGTAAGTTTTTCTTTGTATTTAAAAAATGTCTTTCTCACACTTGGATTAAGCACAAATCCACCAAATACTGAGATGTTCCAGTTTTACAACAGGATTTAAATGCAGCATTTGTGTGCCTGTGAGGGGGCTTAGATGATCAGAGGAGTCTCAAAAATCAACCCAAAAATGGACCCCGATCTGTGCGTATTAGAATATTCAAGTAGTAAAAAAATATTTAAGAATTGCTGAAATTTTCATGTGTGTGCTTTTCAAAAACAAAACGAGACTTGCAAAGGATGAGGTGAGAAATATACAACATACATCTGTGAAATTTCAATATTGGTACAGATTGTTGAATTTATATCGAACTTAGTTTTATATTCCATTCATGTATTAATTTAAGCATGTGACTTTTGAATTGTGTGATGTGCGAGTAACCATAATTATGCACTAATCATAATCATAGGACACATTTTTCATCTGCAAATGATGTCGTGCACATTTGCAATCAGTTTGAGGCTAATTCCTTTGCATAGTCCTCTGTCATGTCCTGCCTCTGTCCTGTTCGTGGACGGCACTGGCACTCACTCACCCCCATTGACAGATTACTTTCCTAATGGAATTTAATTATTTATCCTTTCCTCGTGGCGATTTAGCCAGGAAAAGACCAACAGTGTGAGTGTGCAGAAGGACAGGAGGGGAGGGCAGAGGAAAGAGGAAGGGAGAAGGGCTCATTTCCTCCTGGAAACTGGATCACCTCCATTTTCATTTGAAGAAATGTCATTTTGTTAGAGAATATAGACTAAATAAATACATTGCAAGGAGGAAGAGAGGCTGACAGAGAACGTTAATGAATATAATAATTTGATTCCTGGTTCACAGAAACTTGTCTTTGTCAAATGACAATTAATGAACATTCCTATGACTTATCCTGAACTTAACTAGAGCCATGTATAGCCCATCCATCTATTTCTACTAATGTAAATTCCGGGATGATCCCGACCACTATTGAGCTAGGGGCAGGGCACACCCTGGAGAGGTCATCAGTCCATCTCAGGGCCAGTACAGGGAGAAACTATGCATGCCGACTCTCACACCTAGGTTTTAGATTTAGAATCACCCATCGACCTCATACTGTGTGAGGAAGTACCTGGAAAACCCACAGATGGGAAAAACATGGAAACACACAGAAAGGCCCCGACTGAGAATCAAATCAGAGGCATTCTGTCTCGGAGGCAGCGGATCACACCATCAGGTAGTTTCCGTTATTTATTCATTTAGTTGTAGAGAACAGCTTCAGGTCCCCTAATACATTAGTGTTAATAGACTTTCCTCACCTTAATATGAGCAGCCACCAATACATAAACCTTTCAAAGTCTCTACAGAGTGCGTGAGTGTTAGACAACCTGTCCTCTCTGTACCTCTTCACTCGCTGTTGCGCACCTTTGTGTTTTCCCCTTCTTCTTCCTTTTTCTGTCCTCTTCTCTCCTAGCGCTTCTCTCTTTTTGACTCTCCTTTTCCCTCACTGGGGATCCTAATTAAGCTTGGCTGCTCTTTGATGTTGTCGCCTTGGCAACAGTCACCATGACGAGGCTGGGTCTGCACACTCTCTCGAACTCACTCAGGCACACACAAGTACAGTACACACGCAGTCATGCAAATGCATGAACATGCGTGCTCATTGAAATCATTAAAGAGCACAGCCAGCGTTTGACCCGAGGTTCAAATGATAGCTCCCCCCAATGAATGGCTCCGTGCGTGGGCCACGCATGTCATCGCCACGTGTTACATGCATGCAACAGCAATGGAACAAAGAAAAACACAAACATCCTGTTGTGCAAGATGTGGATAATGAGGAATTGTGCGGTGTGTGCATCCACAGGTGGTTGAGGAAGCGGCAAAGCTAAGGTTTGGCGTGACGGGGATCCGTTGGCTTCGGTCAGAGCGGCCATGACCACTTGCTCTTACCTCTTGACCCGTTCTTGTGCTCGTTTTGTTTTCCTAAATAAATGTTTGTGTGGGTTAAAAGCCCTTGGGATGAATCATGTGCTAAAGAGCAGTTGTTAGAGTGCTGGCTGTTTCTCCGGGCTGTACAGCATCTGGCGTACTCAGCTGATTTACAGCAGGGGAGTCCCTGCTTTCTCTGCCTCTGCCCCGACCTTTCTGCTCTGCCTCTGTTTTTCTGCTTCCCTCGCTCTCTCTTTAACCATCTCTGCCCACAACAATAACCTCCCTTAAACTACATTGTGGTCACGATGGAGTTGCAACATTTTCATTTAATTCATTTTAAAATATGAAAAATGTGTAGTCATGGTACAATCAATCGCGAGCCCGGATCAGAAGCAGATCAGTACAACACAGAAATTTTGTTCAAATACATTTTTTTTAGATGCAGCTGACGTGTCTTCAGTCTAGAAAAGCCAGAATGTGTCAAAGACTCTTTTTCCTTTCCCGGTATTTCCTCAGTTGGGTCTATATCTCTCATCTCCACGTCACTTAATCCATCTCTCTCCTCTGCCCTCTCCCCTCATCAGCCCCCTTGCCTCCTCCTCCTCCCCGGCCCCTGTGGGCGTTGTCTGGGGGAAGGCCCCTGTAATGAAACCTGCTCTTACCACTTTCTTATAACGGCAGCTTTGGTGACAACAAAATGAGTAACCATAGCAATTACCAACACAAAACATCCACACACAAGACGGGAAAACTGCAATTAAAGCAACACTGGGCAGATATTTAATTTCACTCTGGGGAGGACTATAAACTGAAAATTTTCTTAAAATCAATTCCTGCAGGGGACATTGAAATGCTGTTTTAGTCAGTGGTGGATTAAAAAGGGGGTTGCGTCAGCATATTCTGTTAAGAGCGTTTCCTGTTAAAGACACAAATCATTTCATTTACAGGAGTCACAGAGAATCAACAGCCATACTGAGATATATATATATATATATATGTGTAATACCTGCTAAGAAACAGTTTAAAAGTTCAACGTCCACAAGCACAAACCTGCTGAAAGATCAGCCCACATTATTCCAGTTTCTTTTATAGCTTTTTAACATTTGAAAAACCAGCAGAAAGTCCACTTTAAAACATTCCAGGAAAATATTCACCGAAAACTGCCCGGAACATCTCATCTGTTTTCCAGGCTTCATCTCTGTCTATTTATTCACTACATTTAAATGTAGTCAAGCTGAGCAACAGTCAAGGCTCAACTTGGCCATGTCCTTATTCCAGTGCATATGCATAGGAATGGATTATAATGGAATCTACAATTATTAGGTGGTGATCTTTGGTTGTTAATTTAACAACTGAATAAAACAATTTACTCAAGGGCAAATATGTACCATATTAGGAGATTAATTTAAATATTAATTAGAAATCTTTTGTACACTTTTCTCATTTTACAAATGAGATGCACACTATCGCTTGAGATTTCGTTCTCTTATTATCAGCTACTTCCTTTGTGTGCCAGCCTGGTTAAAAGGTCATGACAGCAGCTGTGGAGCCTGAGCAGCTTTAACACCAGCTTTGCTAACTTTGACTGAATGCATAGTGTGACACTGGAGACAGTGCGAAAAAAAAGGGAAAAATCTCTTTTTGGGGGGATTTCAGATGGTCTAACATTTTAATTGCTTCATTCAGACTAATGATTTGATATTTTTCAAATGTCATGTAAACATATAGGGTTTGATGCCATCTTGAGATGCTTTTACATCATGCTTGTTTTGTGGAAATTTCCTTAAAGTTCAGCAAATGATCTTGATTTTATTTGTAGATAGACACCCTGCCGCCATAGACATATGTGAGACTGGCCTGTACAAACGTCGCCGCCTGTGCTGGAGAACAGTTTTCAACTACAAGAGTATGGAGCAAACAAAATCCAGTCTGTTCTGTTTTGTTTGTGCATTCTGTTGAGACTTTTGGAGAAAGATAAATATTAGACCCATCCTATGCTCTGTTTGTCATTTGCATTTTAGGAATGAAAAAATACATCTCTGAGGATTTGAGTTGGGACACCATAAGCTGTCACAGACGCCTATCTCAAGGTTTTTGAATGGGAGAACAATGCTTATGGATGCTAAAAACATTCTTTTTGCACATGTCAGGACATACAGAGCACAATGATGTAAAGTGTTATTTTATAGGGATTAGTTATATCTGAAATGCTATGAAAAAATATTCAAAGTGAGGATTTTCTGTTATTATTTCTATCCTGTTCTTCATGATTGGTAAGTTTATCCCCATGTGATTATCATACAAGCCATGTTGTTTTAATGAAAATGGGCCACAGAACTGGGAGGATCAACTGGATGGAGTTTGACATCTCAGGAAAGACAATTAGTCTGATTTGCTGCCAGTTTCTGTAATCGTCATTTCAGCTCTCTATATTCAGAGACCTATGGTTTTCCCAGCGATGCATTAACAGAAGTGTTGTTTCTTTGCTGACTTTACACTTTCCGTGTCCTTCCTGTCCGTGCAGCTGTTTGTCATCGATAATGGAGCGGACGACTGGCGCATCGCCATGACGATGGAGCGAGTTCTGCTGATAGCCCTGGAGCTGCTGGTGTCTGCGGTGCACCCGGTGCCCGGGGACTTTAAATTCCAGTGGCGGGCACGGCTGGCATTCTCATATGCACCGTCGCAGGCTGAGGCGGACCTGGACATGGTGCTGAGCGTGCCTATGTTCCTGCGCCTCTACCTCATCGCCAGAGTCATGCTGCTTCACAGCAAGCTCTTCACCGACGCCTCCTCCAGGAGTATAGGTGCCCTAAATAAGGTCAGAAATGTTTCTGTGCAGCATGTGTTCAAGAGGGTGTTAGTCAAAGGTTTATCTTGACTGACATGAGTGAGTTGTAAAGGTATTAATGTCAGGAGCTCCTCCTCTGAACGAAGTCTATCTGTGCTGTCCCCTCCATCCCTGCCTTGTCTCTAAATATCAGACGTTTTTCCTCTTCTCCTCTCCTTCTGGATAGCCTTTTTTGGAGAATCTGTTTCTTTTCATGTCCCAGTTCAAGTCCTTTCCCTGCTTTTCTGTCATTGCACAAAGAGACTTACATATAAGCTGTGGTGGATCTTTCTTTGTACAATAGAAGATGGGAGCATGAAATGAGAACAAGTAATTGCAAATGTCTTAAATGGGGCGTGAAAAAAAGAGACTGGAATGGAATTGGAATATGAGTGCAGGGAAATGTGTACAAGTCATGAAATGAAGGATTGGTGGCAGGTTAATGATGATGTTCAGCAATAAATATTAATGTAGGACCAGAATGAAGAGATGTGACAAGTTTTGGAAATATCCAAACAAGGAAGAGAAGAGAGATTGGACAGACTTCCAATGAGAAGTCTCTCAGTTTTCTTGTGTATCTGAGATGGCATTATGCTGACCCTCAGGCCCATGGTGACAGGAAGAGCTGTTGGAGCTGCCATTGAAGTGTTGCTTTAAAATGACATCTTACTTATCAGCTGGTAAAACCTTCTAGGGCTCAACAATCAAACGATCCATCAACCAAATGCTGATGGTCTGCCTCTTATTGACAAATGAGTCATGGATAACATACATTCTGAAACAGGCCAATTACTCCAAGACGCTGCTCAGCTCGACCTGACTCAGAGGGCAAGACCCGATCGTGACTCTAATTACAGTGAGAATGCCACCACTATCAAAAGCTAGCCCAAAGACTAATTAGTAAAACTTTGTCTGTCTGGAGGAGATGTTTCTAGATGAGGATTCGGGGCTGGACTGTGCTAATACTGCTGAAATGTGTGAAGCAGCGTCATTCATCATCTGTCAATTACTAAAAAACGTGTGTGTGCGTGCATCCCAGGTCCATTTCAACACACGGTTTGTCATGAAAACCCTCATGACTATCTGCCCCGGGACGGTGCTGCTGGTCTTCAGCATCTCTCTGTGGATCATCGCTGCCTGGACCGTACGAGTGTGTGAGAGGTAAGTACGGCAGCTGGTGCATTTACGTGTGTTTTAACTCTGTAAGGAATTTAACTCTCAAGAAACATAATCAGGGACCCTCGTGCAACAGGACCCGTATTTTGGCTTTCGTTCTAGAAGGTTTCACCTGTCGTTTAAGTCGACTCAGGTGGATGAACTGTTTCTGTACCACACCTGAAAAGTGACATTCTCTAGGAAGGTGGCTAACATACTAGGATTTTGCCTTTTTGTTTTAAAACTGGTGCATGGAGATACAAATATATGCATCATATTTTAGTTTGAAGCAATGTAACTGGAGTTGCAATCATCTGTGCCAGATTAATCCTAAAAAGCGACGGATATTTGAATTTAAATTTGACACTGAGTTTGAGATCATCCAGCTGTGACATCGTATCCCCTTCACTATTTCATTTAAAGAACTGAATTGAATTGAAGGTTAGCCATTAAAAGTATGCTGACTAACTTTATTGTTGAATGGCTCTTTTGAAAAAACAACCATATGCACGGGGTTTGGTTGCTGTGGTAACAGTGTTGCGAGTATGGCAGGAGTGATGGAAGCAACCAGTAAGCTACATGTTTTGTCCTGTGTCAGGTAAAACTGTACGACCCGTGTTTTGGCCACGTCCAGACAGAGCCAGTTGGCCGGTCGTGTTGTCCATTATTTGCATCTTTTTCACTGACTCGGACCACTAAGAGTTTCTCTTTCTAGGTATCATGATGCACAGGACGTGACCAGTAACTTCCTCGGAGCCATGTGGCTTATCTCCATTACTTTCCTGTCCATCGGCTATGGAGACATGGTCCCTCACACATACTGTGGCAAAGGAGTCTGCCTGCTCACAGGCATCATGGTCAGTAGATTTCCTCTCACTCCCCTCCCTGTCTCCCTCGCACTCTCCCCGAGGCGGTGTCCTCCCCCAGTCTAAAGGTCTGCAGATTAGAGGGCATGCTGGCATTTGTGAGACAGATTCTGCTGTGTGTAATTTGGGCAATCCTCTCTGATTTAGCTTGCATCTGTGCTTCTGTGTGTTTTGAATGTGTGGGCGTGCAAACAAGAACATGTTTGTGGTTTGTGTGTGTTTCTGAGTTTGTTCTTCTCTTGTCTGTCCTCATTGCATAATGAAGGCCCTACCTTTCAATGTGCCATGTCCTCCCACTCTCACTTTCTCACTTTATGTCAGTCTTTCTTCATCACTATCTCGTTCTCAGATTTGATCAAATTCTTTCTCCATCTTTTCTTCCCTCTTTTCTTCTCCTTTTCCCTGAGGCCATGTGTTTATTTCTATCTACTGTCCATCTGCCAGTATTAGTCTTTAGCCGAGTTTTGGACTGTTTGCCTCAGTTCACTGGGGGTTTACGTCACTCTAACTATTCCTTTTATTTTTTGTTTTTCTTGTTTGTCATGTCTTTTTTGTATAACTCTTTTTTCTTGATCTTTGCACTTGTTTCTGTCAATGAAGGGTTTCAGTTGTGTTTTTTTAACTTTTGGAATAATAGCGGTATTAAATGTAAACTTAAACTGTAAAAACTCCCTTCAAGTTTTTAACCTTGTTATTGCATATCTCATTAGAACCTTATTAAAATGCTTATATACACATGCTGTCCTTGCACCGATAAACCTTTATTAGCATGTTTTTAAAAATGTGCAAATTAGAATTTTGTCATCAAGCTTTTTCTGCTAAAAGAAAAATGATCATGATCAACAGAGTTTAAATTCATGCCAGCGTTTATTGGTTTTCTTAGAGATTAAATAACAATGAAGGTCTTTATAGGTCTTTTAGGATATGATGAGGCTCAAGAGCATGTAAAGTGTTAAAAAGAAGATGAAAGAAGCTTTCCATAGACCTTTTAATCTCTGATCTACACAATGGCAATCAGTCATTGCAAGAAGAGATTCATGATTGAATAAGGGGTTTAATGTTATTTTGATAAAGGTTAATTGATCAATATAAAAAATAGAACAGGGAAAATTACATGTTGGCCATTTCCCATTAAGAACAAAATACTTACTGTCTGTGTATCAATATTTCATGTGCTGCATTTATATCATAATGCCTTAATGCTTAAACTAATGATCAATTAACAAAGAAACCTTCTTAAAAGTAAGCACATTTTTAAGATTACAATGAAAAAATTGATCCTCCTAATGTAACCAAGCTTTACTTAAAATAAAAAGAACTAAAAACAACTCGGAAATACACAAATAAGATATTGGCCATGTATTCAATGCCATTCGTCATTTTTATGCCTTTAAAAAACGAGTCATCCAGTATGAATTATACTCAGAAAATGCTCTAGCTGCACAGTTTTTAAAGCATAGGAAATCATTTCTCCATCTCTTGACATCAAACAATCCCCCTTTTTTGTGTGTAAGGTCTAAATCAAAATTTTACAGCTCCGTCTCTTTAGCACGTCCTATCGGCGCCTCTCTTAATAACGTAATGAGAGCAGAGGTAAGGGTGGCGTCAGCACAGCATGGAGGATGTCAGGCTGTCCTACCACATGGAAAGACAAGAACAAGTTGCCAGACTCCAAAAAAGAACAAATCTGTCTTTGTAAACATACAGTTAGGCCGAGAAAGAGGATTCAGGTGGATTTCTCATCACTCCTGACATCTGCGTAGTCTTTTATGTTCAATGAGTCCAGCCTCTCTTTCTCTGCCAGCTCACCTACTTGCATTAAATGTGTGAACAAACACACTTTCACAAAGAAACACCCAGACCCTCATTTACTGGGTGAATCATCCAGTGGACGTTTGCGATGGAGTACATCTCTTACTGTCACGGACACAGACATAAAGCAGAGGGTGGGGATACAGATTGGCCCAAACCCAGAGCTACACACTGAAGCCCCCTCACAACACTGACACAGAGCTTGACTTACTCTCTCAGTATGGCTCCCACACACACTCTTATCTACCGTCACACAAACACACTCTCCTCCGATGGAGAGAGGCCGGAGTGTTTTATTTTTGTTGATCTTTAGAGAGGGTAAGTGGAGATGCGCGTGAACATAGGAAGGTGTAGCTCATTCCTGGGAGAGCAGATGCTGTGAAAAACATAGTAGTGATGTGAAAGGATTTTTTTTTCTAAAGAACTCAGAGTGGAGGTCAAGGCATAAAACAAGATATATCCTTTTTTTCAAAAAATTATCCAGTAATTTCATGAAGTGAAATTCTCTCTGATGTTACTATGACAACCCATGACGGAATACACCAAAACCCTGGGGGCTACCTGGGGGTGTTCCAGGTGTTAGTGTGAACATGTGGGAGGTTGAGTGTTGTTGACAGTTGGTGGATGGAGGCAGACCAGAAAGCTGCGAAAAAAAATACAGTGAGCTTTTCTTTTTCTTTTTTTTTAAATTTACATGCATCTAATGGTGAATGACTAAACTGAATTATACTGGATAAAGCCATCCTGTTGTAAACTTATAAGTGCTTATTAATGTAGTTGTCAACAACAGCAGTGCCAATAAGTGGAGTCTGGTCTGTGAACACTTTAATTAATGAGCGTGTGGTTGGATGCACTTAAAATAAGGAGGCATACATGTATAGAAGAAGGAATGAATGCTGGTTAATACAAAGCTTTACTAAAAGCCTTGAATGATGAGTACTAAATCGGGCAGTTATATATTCATATATAGATACAATGTATACGTTGTCCAGTATAAGCAGATAAGAAACTGTTTTTTTCTGCAGAAAGAAATCCCAGTAAACCAAAAAAAAAATAGTGTAATTGCTATGTCAGCTGTGGCGGTGATGCCGTCCTTCTCAACACGTTCAGAACTGTCTGCAGTATGACAACCATGCACATTATGCAGAATCCTGTGTGTCTTCTTGATTTCCTTTCAACAGTTTTTGAATTTAACAGATTATTGGAAAGTTTGGAGATGAGCCCAGATTTCCCCCTTTTCCCATACTGCATATTTATCTGTGGCACATGTATGAAAAGTGAAAAATATTGATATTGCATATGAATAGATATCATTAACCAAACCTTTCTTACTCTCTTGAGGTCTGTGGTGACTGTCACTTCGATGTTGCTTGGAATGATTAATTTTGTTTGAAGAAAAATAAGCAGCTGGCTGAACCTTTTCAATCTTTGAAAAGCACCGTACATACAAGAGTTACAAGGAAAACCTGAATGAGGATCTCCAGGGTTCAATCTGAACAAAGTTCTTTCAATTAGTTTGAAGCCATTTTCCTCCAAAATTCATAATCTATTATTAGGTGTTTGATAGCATAATCAAAACAAAGAGGCAAGAGAGTTTGACACACAGGAATTTACATACCTGTGTTAAATTGGGCAAAGATTGTAAAATTGTACATGTCGTTTTGATGGTCAGTGGGTACTTTTTCCAATTTCAGTCATGCGGAGTAGAAACTTATATAGAAGATGGTGCCATCACCCATTTGTTTGTAGACTACCCTTCGATATATTGATCCGGCCAGTCAGACATCTGAACTCACAGAGATTCTGCATGTTTATGTGATAGAGAAGCCCCATTGATCACGTTTTGGTAGGCAGCCTTTCTCTAAATGGTAATGCTTCTTCTGATTTTCTCCAAATGGGGACATAATTTACTAAATGCACATTGCTTCTCTGAATGAGACTTATTACTTAGACCAGAGAATCCCTCTGAGAATGTTTACCAAGGAAAAAAAACAAAGTAATTTTCTCATCGACCTATGAAAGATCCATCAATTTTCTCTCCCTGTTAGCCATCAGAGTACGTTCAGATTTGAGGCAAGTCTTCCGTTTCTAGACCCAGGAGCAATGTGTATCTTTTGTTTGTGCATTGCAACAAAATCTGTCGTTCTCTCCTTCCTTTTTGCAGAGCGTCTCTACAAACACCGGCTTGTCAGGTTGCAGACAGTGGCTGCATTTCAAAACTGTCTCTTCCTTTTCCTCTACATTTTCGCTCTGACCTGTTCCCAAACAGTTTTTTTTTTTAGCTAAAGTGTAAAGTTTCTACCTGGAGTGTGTGGATGTAACACATAGGCACGGATGGGTGATTCCCTGTCTTCTGACAGCTCGGTAGACGGTTGTGCTGTAGTGGGGGAAGCGAGGGAAACACCCAGACAGGCGTATGAAACAAATCACAGCAGCACAGCCATCATCAGCCGTGTCGCTGTGTGGAGATTGTACGGGGAACCCTGCTGGAATCAAATGGATGCAGGCGTGCACACAAACAAACTCTCACACACCAACACACGTATTTGCGCTCGCTAACATGAGAGTGCGCTTCCTCGCGGAGCCTGTGCCGACAAACCAATCAGTTCCCTACTGTTCTGACCAGGACCATTTTAAGCACACGCACAAACACAGCGACCGGGCACACAACGCTCCGCCAGTGTGCACATTGTTCGTGTATGAATGCTCTACGGGCTTTCCTTTGGCTCTCATCATACTTTATTCATAGTTTTTGTATAAACGCAAATAGAGTGGATGATTGTATGGACGTGGGCACTAATGAAAGCCTGTGTCTTACATATTGCTGAACTTGACTTATTTTTGGCAAAGCCGTCTTTTCCAGTGCATGCGGTGAGGGAGTCCTCCACATTTCAGGAGTGCTTCATGCTCCCTTCCAGTGAAGTCTCAAACTCAAATGTTTTTCTCTTTATATCACCCTCGTTCCTTCCCTGCTTTCCTTTCCCCGCGTCAGAGCCTTGTAGTCACAAGCAGGAAAGCAAACCCTTGTTCGTTTCCATTAAACACTCTTAATCTTAATTCATTGCTTATCAGGAGATATGTGACCTCATTAACATTGGCTTCTTCTCCATCTTTCTCTCCTCCCATTGCTTGCACACACGCTCACTTCCTGCATTCATCTCTCTCTCCAACCACCCTCCAAGTTTTTTTCTGTCCCCATTTCTATTTACTAATAGCTCTTCACTCTCGTTATCTTTACCTCCCTTCTCCCTTTCTTTCCTCTTGGCGCCTGCCCCTTCAGAGGAACCTGTGAGCACTTAGCAGCCCCATTCAAAACAGTGTCTAATCTGAAAGTTAATTAAGTCTATCTGCCTCCTTGTGTTCCCTCTTCATTTCTCCTCTCAAGCATGTCTTTCTGGTTGAGGGACTGCTGTCACTCTCCCAAATGAATTTGCCATACGTCCCACGTGGGTTGAGTTGGAATACAGACGAACCGGTCTGTGTTTTACACTTTTACACATCCTACAGGCCTCAAGCCTCCGGTGAGAGGAGAAGACTGACACCATGTAATTCAGATCAACAGCATATAATTAAATGAAAGTAGGTGGTGTCAATCTTTGATTTTTTTTTCCTCTAATCTATAATGGGCATATTTTCCAGCTACATATAGAGGCGATATAGAAGACATCTCACACCAGATGGATTGGGAGTGAAAATAGACTTGGCTTTCCTCTCAACATGAAGAAACGCGGAACTGGAACAGAGCTATCCCTCCTAATCCTCTCATTTCCCCCATTCACTTCTGTCCCTGTCATTCGTTTCCTGTCCTCGTGTTTGTCCTTGCTTCTTTCAATCATCTGGGCTAACTCCCCATCCTTCAACCACCAACTCAACTCTGTCATTTCCTCTGTTCTTTTTCTTCCAGGGTGCGGGCTGTACGGCTCTGGTGGTTGCCGTGGTAGCCAGGAAGTTGGAGCTGACCAAGGCAGAGAAGCATGTACACAACTTCATGATGGACACGCAGCTGACCAAGAGGGTGTGTAGGCTCGTATATTGTTGGTGTTGGGAATGAGGGTGTTGCACCGTGGCAGAGATAAAGCAAAGCTCTAATTTGTAAATGGCACACTCACTTCTGGTGTCGTTGCACTGTATTTGAGGATTTACGTGAAGATGAGTCCAGTTAAAGCGGGTTCCCTTTTCACCCTCCATGACTACCTCACACTATCATCCTGTATTGTTGGGACAAAGTGCTGAGCTATTTGAGTGAGCGAAGGCAATAAAAGGTCACCTCGATCTGGCTCTTTATGCACTGCTCCCTCACTAAGCATCTCTCTTTTTCTTTCCATCTCCGATCATTTTCCTCCCACATGGCCATCCCTCCACCTCCCCTTCCCTCTGACATTTGTCTCTCTTCCAGAAAATCCTTTTTCTCTCTCTTTGTCCCTTTGGCACCCTCTGTCCTCTTCTTTCCTTGCCCTCTCCCCACCTCCTTCCCACCATCTCTCACTCCCATCCTCCTTCAGTCCTTTTCAATTTTTCATGCCGCTGAAAGACCCAAGTTTTAAAAATAGCTCCCGTATCAAATATGTAGGGTACATTATGGCAGAAGGGTTATCTGGGTGACTGAGCGGGGTGATCAATGATTTGAGTGTGGATAGAATATATCGACAGAGGAGGTGGATGCGCTCGGTGTTTATTGGAGCCAGACTCTCCTCATCCCCCTGCCATCCCTGCTCAGGTCAGCCAAAGTCAGTTTTCACAAGACATTTAACACCCTTAACAATGTGCTACAAGAGTGTGTGCGTGTGGGTTTGTGTGTATACTCTGGTATTTATTCATGTTTAAAGCAGATTTTCTTTTCTGGTGTACCCCATTTATTATCAATTAAAGCGAGAAGTCAGTGGTGTACACTACAGAAACATTTATACTAAAGATAGAGTAATGTCGAGTTTTGCTCATTAAGGCTGGATCTTTCTTTTATAAATGTTTCCTTAGGTGAGTTGTTTGACCTACCACTTTGGTCCAGGTTTTCAGCAGATGTGGCTTCTTGGCTTTTTAGTCTTTTAACTCTACTTAAAAATGTAAACTTCAAATGGATTTTGGGCCTTGTGCTGATCAACAGATGTTAACATGGTGCATATTATACTCGACATCAACTTGTTGATGCTGTCGATCGTCCTAATGGGCCAGATGTTTTTTTACCCTGAGCATATGGTAAGTCATCCACCCACGCTCTTTGGAGAAGGACGTTAACTACCAATAAACTGAAGTGGTAAAACTTTTGAGGGTAAAAAAGCATCTTCCCCACAAATATCACAAATGATCTTATTATTTTCTCCCTTGTCAAATGAAAGGTAGATGATCCATTTCTGATCAAACCGAGGCTAATTAACAATATTGTGTCCTCACACCTAAGAGCTGCCAGTATGTAGAGGTTCATTGTATAGATGGATCCCCCAAAAAACTATGACTTTAGAAAAAAATTAAATGAATAAATAATCTATGTTTTGAAACTGTATCTTTGAAAATCATCCCTTCAGAAGAGCAGTCAGCATGCTCTCAGTTTGCACAATGAGGGAGGAATTTTAATGGGGGAGCTAAGCTAATAGATTCTCAGAATAGAGGCCACAAACAAATTAATTTTAGCCATTAAAGTAACACGGACCACATAGATTTTTATTCACAGTTGTGTCTGACTTAAATGATAATTACAGCATTAACTGAAAGCTAACACATTAGAACAGATTGAAAAGATGGTCATTTTTCAGCTTTTCCATGAAGTGAATGGAGGTTCATCATCTTATATTTGGTTTCATGATATCAGACAGGCATAATTGGTGCCCCTTGCTGGCTACATTAATGGCTGATAGCGAGTTGTTGTTAGACATTGAAAACAAGATGAATTTTCACATTCAAGGCTTGAAACACACAAGCTCATTACTTTCCATCTGGCCAAAGTCGCTCTCTCAGTGCTGGTATTAGATTTAACTTGCTATTTTTTCTTTAACAGCAAACATGTCATAACATTTGATATCACTTAACTTTCTCCAACGCATTAAATTGCCATTTGTTTCCTATTAGGGAAGTCTTTTTTGTTAAGCAAATAATATTATCTCTTTATTTTCATAATCCTTTTTTTTTTCATGAAAGCCCCATAAGTTAAGGTATGTTTGTCATTGTTCCGCTTTTCAACTTGATTTTATTGTTTGAAACATATGATAAATTATAACATTACATTCATAACAATACATTTGCCAGTATATAAAATGAGGGATTAATTCCAATAGGATCCTTTTCATCTTCTGCCTAATGCATTGGGTATGTTTTAAGTGAAAAGGCTTGGGTTGCTGTTGAAGCTGAGATCAAGGTGCTCAAATAATTTTTTAACTTAGAAAGAGGAGTTGACACATCAGGTAGCTAATTCAAATTCATACATCATGCTTGTTTTTGATCTGATATGAATGTTTATGGGCTGTTCCACATACTTTCTGACAGTTACCAACTCTCCTAATGTGGTACTCCATCACTGAGCAATATTTCTATCCCGTGCAATAGCATTACTCACTATATATGATCTCCACTACTGTGCAATACTTAGTGTAGTGTATATATATCTATATATCTATATATATATATCTATATATATATATATATATATATATATATATATCTATATATATATATATATATCTGTGTGTGTGTATGTGTGTGCCGATTGGTGATATTTCCTTCAAAGACTTGACGGATTGTGTCTGTAATTATCGCCTGCCCTCTATCACTTACAGAACAGTGAATGAAGCTGTCGTGTCCTCATTGAAACACATGACTGAGGCCATTCTTTGCCAAATTATGGTAACAGGAGTACACAATCAATCATAGCTTTGTAATGAATAATGCAACCACAGATCCTGCCATCATCATATGTGTGCACACACACATTAATAGGCTAAAATAAACACGCTGGCTTTCCTCTGTGAAACCCTGTCTCGTTCTCTTTGAAGGATTAATAAGAATGTCACTTAAATGCCAAAGAGGGAAGTGTTCAGCTGATCAGAACAAGAGGGGTTGTGTAATGAGTCTTGGGTGTGGTCGAGTGCCAGCACCAAAATGGGAGCAAGCCAGGCTACCCAGGCTTCTACACGGCAGGCATAACTAATTCTTAGACATCTACATTCTGAACCTTTTTTCTTTTTCAGTTGAAACACATGCAATGCCAATGCCTGGCACGTATTTCAAGATATTTTGTCTCTGAAACATTTTAGGGTTACTTGCTTTCATCTTTGGATTAGATTTTAAGACAGGGATGTGGAATTTAAATTTTAAGAGCTTGTGCGGTGTCGATTGGGAATGAAGGGAACGATAACCTTATCAGGGGGCTGACGCGTCAATCAAAGTTCGGCACACAGGGCTAATTTTCATTCAATGCTCAGTGAAGCAGTCCCTCCCTTTGATAGGATTAAAAGAATGTTAATTAAACAATAGTTAATGCAATACGCCTGTCTATGAGGTGTGAAGTGCTCATGTTTGATGTCAAGATTGTTTTGGGTCTTTTCAGAGTTGGTGTTGGGGACATTGAGGCTGGCGCTCTGTTTGCAGCAGTTTTCTGTGCCTTAACTAAAGTACTGAGTAACTGAGACCGCGGCTGGAAGTCCGTGTGGTCAGAGTGTCATCCCGGACATTTGCGGAGCACACTTACATTTGCCAAGTCAGTAGAGTGGCATCTCCTTCCTTTTAATGGCACTGCAATGTCTGTTAAGTGCACCTCACTTAAGTAATAAACCAACTGAGTGAATATGACTGGCAGAGTCAAGCTTTTTGAATGTTGTCACAAAAGTGAGGGTTTTTGGCTTTTTTCTATGATACTCTCAGAATGTCCATTCCTCTTCCACAGAGGACCACCGGTTCATTCAAAGCTATTTTAAACATCACTGTGGCAAATGCAGAGCTTTGCCCTCTCTCAACCCTCACAGTGCACTTTGGGCTCTAGCCAGAAAGGAGATGGGGCAATGCCTTCAGAATGTTTGCCGAATGGGAGCAATCTAACCCCTGAAGATTTCTTGTAAGATAGCTTCCACTCCATGGGGTAGAAATACCTCTTCTTTCAACAGCCTTTCAATTTATGCTGAAGCCAAATGGATCATTAGTGGCTTTGATGCATTATGACGCACTGAATGCATTCACTTATCTCAATGGTGCTGCCAGTGTTTACTGATGGAACCTGTGTTTACCTGTCCTAAAGCAGCTCTGCCCAGCTCTCTGTGCCAACTTTTGGTGGTGCTGTGAAAATCCACCTGTCATTTGGATCGTTTCTAAATGTAGTCTTTCATTAAGAAATAGGTTTTCCTTTGATGTGATCCTGCGCGTATCCTCTTGCTTTTTTGCCTCTGATTGCGGTACATTTTCCCTCTTGTTTGAGTGTGTGGACATGTGACCAGATTTGTCTGCCTAAAGGGCCGTGGAACCTGTCTTCTCTCTTTGTCGCCACGTCACTGAGGGGAAGGTCAGAGCAGGTAGGGCCACGTGTCACTGTGGCACATGGAGCTGGTTGTTTCCACAGTAATTGGTGTGTTTTTATGTTTTCTGCTCTCGTAGAAGGCACCAATCTGTTTAAAATACCACAGCACGTAGTCAGTAATTACACAGATCAGATACTTTCCTTGGTCGGCAGGGTCAAACATGTTGGTATATCCTTTGCTGACATCTCCTTCAAAATGTATTCTCCTTATTCTTATAATGTCTATATGATTCAAATCTCCTTAATAATTCAATTGAATGACTACTATTACTAACGTTACTGCTGTGTGTAATGACTTTCATTATATGGAAGTAATGGAATATTCTAACTATGCACAAACAGGAATTTTGTTATTGCTAAGGAAATGTTTTCATTCCTATTTGTGCTGATTAATTTATACACCGCAATATGTCATCAAAATCCCAGCATGCTGGGATGTGGAAACCCCTTGAATTAACAGATTTAACTTGTACCTGCCATAAGGTGCACCATGTAGGGGAGCAGCCAGAACAGATCTTTGACCCAAACCGACCATATGGCCCAAACTTGGTAACCCAAAAACTGTCCATATGGTGGGGCCATGGTTGTTGCCGTCGCCGTTTGGTTTCTCATGGAGCATTCTTAGCGGTTCACGTTGGGTCTTTTATTTTTATAGGCAGAGTTGCCATCTATGTGGCAGATTTTGACACTCCTTTAGCAGGAGGAGAGAGGAAATAACACGTGTGGTGGAAACAGCAGGGATGGTAGGGGGTATCTGGAACAGTCTGGCGTTATCAGTCGCTGTTATTTGCACGTGCAGCGTGTCATTATTCGTCAGACTTCTCTCACCCTGCAGTGACTGATCAGCTGATAGATGAGACCTGACATATCTGCCAACCACTTATGCAGAAGTGAGACGTATTGAATGTGCTCTTTAGAAACTTGGATGTGATTAAAACTGCATAGTTGTGATGCCTCTGTAAGATCTTAGCTGTTCTATTACTGGGTTTGGAGTGCACAATGACAAGCACAATGATAAGCCTGTCAAAGGTGTAAAGAAAAAGTGTCTACCATTTTTTGACGACAATTACAGGTGCAAGATATACACTCCTGTAAACAAGCAGGAGTTTCCTCACATTTATTGGAAGATAAATAAAAGTCTAATAAATAAATCATAATATGTTAGTACAGTAGTTAACTATTTGCCTTTTTATTGTGTAATCAGTGAGGCAAGGCAACTGATCTCTTCATCAGTTGCTGTGAATGTTCAATGGAATCCCTCTGTTTGAGCATTTATAATGAGTTTTATCCATTGCACCAACCAAAACACGAAACATTTATTTCACTGCTGATGAGCACATCTTTTTCGTTCTGTCAGCTTTGAAATCCTTTGAAGTCTGTGATGGAACATTGATTTACATGAAGATCATGACCTCTTTGAAAGCTGCAGACATCCCTCTATGAAACTTCTATTTGCAAGTAACTTACCGCCGGTTTGGGAGTTGACATTCAGTCCATTTTCAAATCTTAAAAGGTTCGGCGAGCCCATCCGTAGTGGTAGCAATACGTCTCCTTTCTTAAGTGCTGCCTTGTGTCCATTAGCGATCCAGCCACAGGTCCATACATCCGCCATAGCATGAGTCACTCCCATGTCATGTATCCATAAAACCCCCTTACATTTTCTTTCTGTTTTGACATATCTCTCAACTCAAACAATAACTCCTCAGACGGTGGATGTTATTCAGAAAAGGTTGTGTTGCATTCTTGCGTATCTCGGTCAGCTCTTGACACCTGGTGCTTCTGACCACTCCAGGCACGCTGTAGGAGCCAAACAGTGTGTGACTGCATTTCTCTACTCTTTTTCTTGAGCTTTACACCATCTTTTTTTCCTGTAATTTTATGATAGTTTCGAAATTGCCCAGTAATGATTCCCTCTTTAGACTAAGGTGTTTGAAAACTTGAGGTCACACTTGCCCTCGCTGCACAACTACACACCACCTTCATTTAAGTTGTCAGATGTGAACTAATAATGTTGCACATGGTGTGCTTCCCCTTTGATTTAAATGTATTGAAAATATACACTTGTTCTTGGCATACTAATCAACCCATTGATTAGGTTTAAGTGATGGAGTAAAGGAGTAGCTGAATGAAAGTCATTTCACACACAACTTCAGTGTTCTGCTTGAGCAGCTCTCTTTGCTTTGACTTCCTCTGTGTCATTGAAAAACACATCTGCAAGGCCCACGGCTTTCTACGCTCTTCATGTGTAGCCTACAACGTGTCTGCATGTGCGTACGTGTAGGCGAGTATATGTGAGTGAGCAGTTCTTGACTGTGGTGGATGGGTGCTGATTAGCCAAGCAGCCCGGGTCTTTTGTGCTTTTCAGACGGGGGTATAATTGTTCTTTGTTCAGTGTTCAACATCTCTTTGAAGTCTTTCATTCAATTTATGCGCTTACAGTTTCTTTGTGCCTTCTCTCCACTGTGGTATCCACCCTTGCTATCCACGCTGGATGTCAGACCCCTGTGATGAAATGATGTAGCAGCCTATGGATTCACACAACATGACTCACAAATAGATATAAATTCATACGGAAGAGTCTTGAGATTCTTTTACAGAGAAAATGGCCCAATGTGACCGTGACATTTTGAATCGGTGTTTTGTCAAATCACAGTAATCTCACATTCAGATGGGCCAAGCTAAAATCAGCTGCACCGTCTGAGGAGAGAAACTGAGAAAAGTAGCTTTCGTAAAGATGGAGTAATTTTGCAGGTAGTTTCTCTAACGGCTCTTCGGTAGAGAGATGAGAAATGTCTTTGAAAGCTTGTTTAAGAGCGCTGAACCAGTCGTGATTGTTTCATCTGTTTTTGTGATAATACAAATGGAGGATTGCATGTTTTAATTAACTACAATGGGACTATGGTGAATTACTTTATCCAGCCAGTATAATTCTGTCCATTTGAATTTGTCTAAGATATAATGTGGCGTGCAGACTTAGCAAGAGAAGTGAGGAGTATGTGAGGGAGGGACTCCTGTTACTTCTCATTGCCAGTCTCCCTAAGGACAGAAGCGTGGATGCGCTCATGAAAAGCATTGGCAAGCATGCTTGTATATTTATACATTAGAGAGAGAATGAGGGCAGCCTCTGAAAAGACAAAAAGATGCTTAATGTTTTTTTTCTTTGCTGAAACAATTGAGAAAGGAGGGGAGAAGAGGAGGAGGAGAAGATGAGCAGACCTGTTGCTTGCTTCGGTTACCAACAGCTACATGTTGCTGATAAAATGTGTGCATATGTGTGTTTGCTCCGGAGACAGATAAAGAACGCAGCTGCTAACGTGCTGAGGGAGACCTGGCTCATCTACAAGCACACCAAGCTGATGAAGAAGATCGACCACTCCAGGGTCCGCAAACACCAGCGGAAGTTTCTCCAGGCCATACATCAGTGAGACCACACCTCACACACAACCACGTCCACAGGCACATGCACACAACTGTGCCTGCCTCTGAGCTGATGAGACCTTTGAAATCATCTGTGCTTTCCATCCGCCCACAGTTTGAATTCACACTGGTAATCAGTTAAAATGCACTAATCCCTACACACAGGCACAACACAAAATTATCCATTATCTACCAAAGGGCAAGTTCACTCCAGGAAAATATGACTGTGGGATTGGATGGTCAGTGGATTGTGTGCCATTAGAGGCGCTCTGTTTGTTACATCATCTATAACAATGTGATTGGCTCATACAAGCACATACAGCTGAACTGGACAACACATTGTATAGATGTGTTTTTGTGTTCCTCTTGATTTCTTCTTTCACTAAAAGTTGTTAAAATATAATGTTTCAGATCCTTTGATCTATAAAGTCTGAAAACATTAACAAGTGGCTTCATAAGCCCAAATTGAAAGACTCAAGACTCTTAATTCTAACAGACAAAGGCTAATCCTTAGGCGTGTGGACGGGAAATTAACTCTGTGAGCTCAGCAGCAGAGGGATTTTTAGGGTGAACACTTAACATCAGGTGCATTTTGAACTTGTCACTGGGAGGAAAAGATAGGATCGGGAGGCACTGGGGTCCTCATGAATTCGCTCTTCCCTTCATTATAATGGAGGAGGGCATGGGGTTTGATGAAAAGACAGATTGAGTCATTAGTTATCGTAGTGTATTATGAGTGTGAGACAGGCTCTGTTTTTCATTGAACTAAGGTAAAATTATCTTTTACTATACTTTCATTTTATTCCCTCTAGTTTATTTTCCCAAGGACTATATTCTAGTCAAGTCCTATTTCTGCCATCATTTTATACACATATATATATTTATATGTATACATATAAAGATATACTGTGCATATAATATTTTTTCAAGGCACCGCAAGTGCTTGATGTGTTTCTACATTCAAATCCAGGAACGTACTGAGGGTAGATATGTGGCTGCTCCACACAAGGTGACCCCTTGTTGTCTGGACCCGGAGGGATTAACTCTGCGGGCCGACCACCGTGTATTTACCGTGTTTCAGCTCTGTTTGTGTGTTTAATGCGTGTGTTTGTTTGCAGATTACGTAGTGTGAAAATGGAGCAGCGGAAACTCAGCGATCAAGCCAACACACTAGTGGACCTCTCAAAGGTGAGGCACATACCAGCACTCCTCATTTTTGCATACAGTTTAGGAGGTAATACCTAGCATGATTTTGCAATACCCCCCCCCCCAAAAGAATGCACCTCGGTATTCTTCTGTTTCAATGCTGACCTGCCCATTTCCATGGCTTTGTGTCTCCTAGCAACCAGAACAAGTGTTAAAACAGGGATGACTGAGTGAGAGAAAGAGGAGGAAATGAGAGGAGGGAGGGGAGTGTTCATGTTTTTCTGTTACTGTGTGGGTGTCTGAGAATCTGAGCGCACATGCATGTGTGCATCTTTGGGTGTTTGTGAAAGAGAAACTCAGAGTACAGTGAGTGAGATACAGACTTGAATAAGAGGGAGACGAAGATTGAAGAAGGGTGTGTGTGTGTGTGTGTGTGTGTGTATGTGTGGTTTTCCAAGGAGCAATGTCTTTAGCACCAAATATTTTGCAATTATGCCATCTCAGTGACTCCATCTGAATTGGCCACTTACGCATTTACCATGGTTACAGGGAGACGAAAAAGCAAGACAGGGACCCTGTGCTTGCTGTCTTTTATCCTCTGGTTCTTCACTCTCTTCTTTTGCTCTTTACAATTTTATTACATTTAGCCACTTCTGCATTCCAGAGTGGCCAGCTCTCCGTTTGATTTATTTGTCTTTTCCTCCGTGGTATTAGGAGCGCTCTCATCTTGAAGAACAAGAGAATTAACTTTATGGTTTTATTTATGTGGACTTTTCTTCACTCTTCATTTTGGTTAAATATTGGATAAACCTGAAATCGAACATTGAGGGTAAGAGGGAAAGAGACTGTTTAATGAAATGTGGTTGAGATACCTATTTTTTTCCCCATTTTTTTTAAATAAACCATACACCCAATGACTAGAAACCTGTTACTAGGGGAAAGTTTGAGGAAAGAAATAGAAACTGGTAAAAGTAGAGGGGCTGAAAGGTGTTCACCTACTCAGCACGTGATCTTTAATGTGATAGCTGCTATGCATTAACCACGTGGTATCAATCTGCTAAAACTGGAGCGGTAATCTTGTTGTTAAAATCAGTTCAATCACGTAAAGTGTCACAAATTTCTGTCACGCAGAACACCTTTTGTCCAGATCATACACATTGACACAAGGACCTAACAATAGTCGTGTGTTTTAATCACAGAGTTTTACTCTCATCATACAGAAAGAATATATGCGGGAATTGCACAAGCAAATTACAATTATTTTAAATGATACTGAAGCATTAAATAATTAAATAAATAAAAGTCGTTTCTGCCCATGTTTGTTACCACTTTGATTTTACCATCTAACCGTATTTACTGTCTTTTTATCACAGCTAAAAGATCTTTTTTAAACCAGCTATGAGCAGACAACCTCATTATTCCCCTACTTCTCATATCTGCTGTCTGTCTCATCTCTTCAGCGTGTTCTTTGTAGGCTGAAAAAATGTCCAACTCTCCTCTCACAGATGCAGAGTGTCATGTACGAGCTCATGTCAGAGCTCAACGATCGCAGCGAGGACTTGGAGCGACAGATGCTGTCCCTGGAGCAGCGGGTGGAGCAGCTCACCGCAGGCTTCAACGCCCTGCCTGCTCACCTCTCTGCCACCCTCAGCGCCCAGCACGCCGCTCTGGTGCACCTGCTCCGGGAGAGGGATGCGAGGGACGGCAGGGGAGGAGGGGGAGGAGCTGTGGTCCCATCGTCCCCATCCACGTCTCTAACCAGTGCGCCGGCCTCGGTCTCTTTGACCACCGCGCCGGCCTCGGCCTCTCCGGTCCAGGTCCCAGCTCCTCCTCCGGCCCTGGCGCAGGTCTCTACTTTGTCAATAGAGTCCCCTCTGTCCCCCCCACCTCTGAGCCCCGAGGCAAGCCTGGAAGCCAGTCCCAGCCCCAACCCCTGCACCTCTAGCTGCTGAGGACAGCTCCAAGGAGCAGCAGCGGACAAACATGGGAGAAAAAACGGAGAGAGAGGACCGGAGAGCGTGATGGTTCTCTCGCGTCAGGCGAACAGGAGAGAAATGAGAGAGGAGGAAAGAAATCTGTGGAGATCCTCTGAAACTTTCACTCCATGAGAAGGGGGTGAAGATTGCACTGTGAGGAGAAGTTATGTGATTAAGATAGAAGGCCGTCATGAGGGATGAGGCTTTTCTGGACTTTGGGACCCTTTTTTTTTTTTTAGAAGAAGAAAGAAGAAGAAAAATGGAGGCAAAATGGAGACTCTAAAAGGTGTGAGGGGGAGGAAAGATGTCAGTTTGGTGAGAAATGGAGAAAGAGAGAATGGGGAGAGGGTGAGAAAGGAGAAGAAATAACTAAGAATAATTATATGAACTCCTAAATGGAATCCTCTCCAATTACTGCAAAGGGCCTTTTAGTCTCTCTTTCTCTTTCCCTCCCTCTCCGTCCCCTTCTCTGGATCTCTCCCTCCCTTCATCAGGAATTAATGACCATGACTTTTTATCCTTATGACGTATTTTCTATCTGAATGCTAAATGTGTGTTAACAAGTATCCCTTTAAACAGAAGGTTCGATCAATACAACCAAGACATTAAGAAACAGGAGGGGAAAAAAGCAACTCGCGGCATGCACCACACACACAACACACACAGTACAAATTAGCACAGAAATAATTACACAATCACTCATAAAGCAGACCCTATTTACACACACTTAATGCACTAACCCATGTGATATCACTAAAGCCTATACTGCCAAGCACTTGATGCAATGTCTATCTCCACCGAGCACTGCCACACTGCAAAAAAAAGAAAAAAAGAAAGTTAATCTAAATGACTTATCTTGTGTGGGTGTGAGCTGATGCAGTAGTTTAGACTTACGATGCATAGTTGTGACATTTTAACAACTCTGCTAGGAGAATGGGGACCGGTCACAAAATGACACAAATTACAGATAAGGCTGAAATAAGCAGGGGGGTGTGAGTCATTATCATAGTGTCTATTTGTGATGCTGAAGACAGTATCAGACGGTAAAATAAGCCAACACAACTACAGCAGGACTTTATTACTGCATTTACCGAATCCCATGCTGAACTTTGCTGATGTTTAAGCGTAGTCATAGGTTTGTTGTATTGAGACCAGACTTGGATGCTGCTCCGCAGGGCAGCCTTCACACATTAGACTATTGATATTTGTATCAAGTGCATTAATTTTTTGGCAAACGTCTTTTTAAAGTGGAACTGAAATACTCCGATTCATTCCAGAGACAACATGTAATGAAAAATATTGACTTTTTTTACACAAACCCCAAATTTAGCGTGAGTTATTATCTCATGTTATCAAATTTGCTACCCAGAAGTATACCACAGATAGATAACATAACAATCTAAAGTTTTTTCAAACAATAAAATGATTTATCTGCTTTTATTTTGTGAAGTCATTCGGGTCCGATTGACCGAGATGCTGTAGTATATTTTATTTTCTTTCATTCTCTCAGATAATGTTGTACGTAGAATGACTTTAATGTTGGCTTTACATACATGTAAAAAGTCCAAAATTGACTTAGCTGTATCATTATAAGACATGATTAATGTTTTCGGCGCATGGCTCTGTCCATGACCCTCACTTTACTGCCATTCTTTATCAGGCTTGCAGTCCACTCACTGTTATCATGAATGTATTCTGTGCATTGAAAAAAAACTACCAGAATTACACCCACACTTTCTCAATCTCTTTAACTGCCATGCACATATTTCACACACACACACACACTGTTACACACATCTCAACAACCAAAGTGCTCTCTTAAATGGACTTCAATAAGAGGCAGGGAACGAACGCTGCTGTCACCGGGGGCAAGAGATAGCAGGTTATACCTTGACAATATTTCTGAGGGAATAACTGTGAAAAAAAATGGGTAAAATGGGTATGGACTTGTTACAGTGCAGTACGTGGCCTGCTCCAAAAGAAGGTGGACTATGGATGATCATAAGGGAACACAAATAAACCTTACAAAGGATCAATGGCCATGAAGGATCAGCTGCTCATGAGATAAATAAGATATATCTGGGATGAATTATAGGGGTGCAATGGGAGAAGAGACAAGCCTACCTTTGCTTTGGAGACAATACCGAAAACTAACTTATAGCGACACGCTATGGCCGGAATACTGAATTACATGCGCTTGGAATATTGTACAGAATGCTCTACGAAATCTAGCTTTGTAATGCTTAGTCTTTTCTACCATTATGATTAAACGCAGTTCCAGCTGATATCTTACATAATTAAACTATAGTATTCTTCTCATTCGTCATGACAATTATGATATATGTATTATTAATACGTTAAATAATTATGAACAAGGAAAGTGCCGTTTGAGGTTGAAATTATTTTGTAATTTTATTTTATCAGAGAGAACTAATAAAGTATATATCTATAACTTTACAGCTTCTTCTTTTTTTATGTGGCAGTTATTTTGACGTCCTTTGCGCTAAAACACACACAAAACGAGCAAGTCGACTCGTTACAGGTCATATATTTTAGTTTGATACTCTCCCCGATGTCCGTTGACGACACGCACCTTCTTTGTTAAGTGTGATAAAAATGTCCTCCTTATTTTGGACACTACACACGGACCTTTGCCAGCTCCTAATCGCCTCAAATCTGAAACTGGCCAGCACATTTCTGACGGACCACTTGGCCAAATATTTGGGGAGGAACTCTGAAGACTATACTGCGTTGCCACGATGATGTTGCCATGGAGTCCATAGTCCCAGCGTTACGTCACCGTCACAGGTTTTCCCTCCTCATCATCATCCGAGAAAGGTGGTGAGTTAGTGTTTGCGCCAACAAGCAAGGTTATCTAAATGACCAAATTGTTCACCAGGCATTGGCATTTCTCTCACAGGAGCCAACGGGCGGGAAAAATAATGACAAAGAATTAATTAAAAAGTTTGGATAAGCGTTAAAAAAAACTGCCCAGTTATTTATTAAAACTTTAATGATGGCTGACAATAATTACTTTTGATGTGTGTAAATGTTTTTTAATTATTTGATCTAAAAGGCCAGTCATGTTGTTTTCTAAAAAGACTGGATTAATGAATGGAGCTGTGTGTGCTTCTATGAAATAGTTTGCTGATCTCTCCTGGTGTCCAAATTATGTTCCAGTCTGTTGTCCTCCATGACGAGGCAAAAACATGTTTGGAAAAACTGTGGTTTAAAGATTTTTTGGTCGATCGGGCTATTTCCATGAAGTTTACCACACTTGACTTCACGCTCAGATGAAGCACTTTCACCTTGTGTGTGTGGCACTCCTTTCTGCTGAATATTTCTGACAAGATGGCTGTCAGCACATACATTTTCAGATTACTCTATTCTTCTACATCCTCTGAGGCTTTGTCACAAAAAAATTATTCCCACAGAGTGATGATGACGTTAACATGTTTGATTTACAAGGTTGTATTCAAGGGGTGATGCCCCGAGGCTGGATTCCTCCACACAAAATAAAAATTACGGCCAAGCAGTTAAATTGTTATTCCATCGCATGAGATGATTTTGCCTCTCAGTGTCTGAGATGTCTGTTGGCAGGAACCCAGCAGACTGCCGTATGCCTTTTAGTGAGGATTGGCTTTTGTCTGGCCGGTCTACAACAAAGGAGTGACTGATGAGGAGGTTCTCTGTGGAAATAAAAAGACCCACCAAGAAACTCTGAATCAAATCCACTGAAAATCAGTCTGAAATAGAACAAAACTGTGGAAACTTCTAATTGTCTGAAAGCTCTCGCTGTGTCCTATAGGGAAAATGTACAAACAGAAGATTTCGAGTGCCCGTTTTTATCGATAGATTCTTCTATCTGGCACATGCAAAACAAAGCAATTTGTCTTCTCAACTTCTCAAACCAAGTGTCAGGCATGGTGGTGGAGGCAGATGAACGGGTACACTGGATTACGTGGAACTCTCGTGTGTACTGGCGCGTTCTGGAGTCACCTGTGAGGTCTTCTACCCAAACAGCGCTAACCCTAACCCGAGTAAAACTGGGTTGTAAAAAAATTATGCCAGATGCAGGAGCTGAGGTTCTAAGACAGCTTCTCATATATCAATTCACTTGTTTTAAAGAGTATCTTTCTACTGATGCTTTGTTTGTGTTCTACGTTTACCCTTATATGCCAGCTTCATATCACGTGGGCATGAATTTACTTGAGCACAAATGCACTGTCACAGCAATTAAATTATCTCTCCTCCACATTTGAAATTGATTATAAGTTCATAAAACAGGCCACATATCAACCCCCTTTGGGTGCTTAGCTCCGAGTAAAAATAAAACAGTGTTGGAGGTGTGAAAGCCGGGGAGCCCATGGTGTTTTTCTGCCAAGGGCAAAGCACACACCCAGATGCGATGTGCTTGTCATCTCTGTTATTTACTGGCAGGCACTGCTGCCCCTGGGGGCTTTCATCATCTCTTATCAGGCTATGTGAATTTTCATGATGGTGCCCTATAATTTTAAGGCCAAGGTAATGTCCATTGCCCTGGTCTCTGAGTCCCTCTCCATTTTTCAAGAAACCCATTTAGTCTGTCAGGACTGCTGTCAGAGCCAAGGGGAGCAACGGATACAGATATAATAATGGAAACTGGGATACGTTTTTATTCATATTCCAGCCAAAAATAATGAAAGTGTGTCTGAGAGAAAATTTTATTACACTAGAATATTTTACTGAAAGCAAGAAGGAAGCATTTGCCAAGGATTGGACACCAGAATGAGATTACCAGAGTGAACAAAACACACTTTTTTAAAAGGTTTTCCTACAGAAGAAAAAGCCATATCAAAGCTGATCACGATCCAAAATTAATGCGATTAATCTTTCAAATCTTTGGCACAAAGGCTCAACGGGGACAAGTTCTGCCCAAATAACAAAGTTTGCAGTTAATTCCACGTATTGAGTAAAACAATAAACCTCATGTGGCT